TCATGATCCCGGTCCTGGGATTGAGCCCCGCATCAGGCTCCCTGCTCAGCGGGAAGCCTGCTTCTCCCTCTCCCACCCACCCCCCTGCTTGTGTTCCCTCTCTCGCTGTGTCTCTCTCTGTCAAATAAATAAATCTTAAAAATAAAGAAAGAAAGAAAGAAAAGAAAAAAAAGAAAAGCACCCATAATGCCATTAGAAAGGCAGAGTCTTTTTTTAAGATTTTATTTATTTGAGAGAGCGAGAGAGAGAACATGAGTGGGGTGAGGGGCAGAGGGAGAAGCAGACTGCCCCCTGAGCAGGGAGCCCAAAGCGAGGCTCCATCCTGGGACCCCGGGATCACAACCCGAGCCAATGGCAGATGCCTAACCAACTGAGCCACCCAGGCACCCCAGGAAGGCAGAGTCTTAAATGGTCGTGTCCAGACATCTTTCTTGGTGGGATCACTTTCACTTCACCCCAAACCTCCATGCAGTTGGACATCTGCTCCCTGGCACACTATGTTGAGCACAGACTTTTAGTCCAACTTCTCCAGAGGGTCAAGGGTTTACGGAACATGCCATTCTTTCGCCAACTCCTGACCAAACACCAGGAACTCACCTGAGACAGAGTACAAGGACCTCCCTAGGAGGATCATCACCCCATCCAAACCAGTTCGTGTGTCCTGAGGGCCTGTCTTCTTCCCTGCTGGGCAAGCCACAAACGTAAAAGCTAACAGAGCTAGTAGCCTGGCCTTGTAAATCAAATACACACAAATCACCTTTCTTCCCCTCTCCCTATTCCCACGAAGAGGCCCGAAAGCATTTCTTTGCAAAATGGCTCATATTAACCATAGTAGCTTTTACAGCTTACGGAGCCTATACCTAATGCCAGGGACAGTTCCAAGCACTATGCCAATTACTTGTCTTTTTAAAATCTGCCATACTCCCTATTGACTTTTTTTTTTTTTTAAGATTTTATTTATTTGACAGAGACACAGCGAGAGAGGAAACACAAGCAGGGGGAGTGGGAGAGGGAGAAGCAGGCTCCCCGTGGAGCAGGGAGCCCGATGTGGGGCTCGATCCCAGGACCCTGGGATCACGACCCGAGCCGAAGGCAGACGCTTAACAACTGAGCCACCCAGGCGCCCCTCCCTATTGACTTGTGAGGACCAGTTTATACCTTTCTGGGAAGGCCAGGTGCTTAACACAGATCCCTACAACTAACGCGTGCTCAATAATGCTATGGGTGATGAGCAGATATCTGCATCCTCCTCCACAACAAAGCATTTCAATTCTGGCCTCTGCAGATCTGGTTTTGAAGTTGGCGGTCATTTCAAACTCACTGTGGCTTCTGCCGCTGTTGAGTAAAAAGAAGGGAGGGGGCACTGCATGTGGACACACCTTCTCCCCCTATCCCCAGCCCTGATGGAAGACACTTCAGTCAACAGGAGGCAGGGGAACAGTGGTAGTCGGCCTCCCTACGGGAGGGATTCGGAGTTCCCTGCCCTGCCCACCGTGCCTGGACTCCAGCAGATGCAGGAGCCTTCCCCACGCCCCCTACCTGCCCACACACGCAAAAGGGTGAGCTCTGGGACCCTGTCTTCCTTCAGCAGCGATGTCTAGGGGCTGTTTCCACGGACCTGCCACTGAGGGAAGCCCCACTGGCAAGCAGTGAGAGAAATGGGAGTAGAAACAACAAATAGGCTGGGAGAGATAGTTGCCAAAACAAACCAAATGCAAAAGAGCTGCTTGCCACCAGCTCGGCTGGGCCCAGGCCAGGAGCATGGAGAGACAAGAATACATACGTGCAGGGAAACATATCGTTCCAGCGAGCTCCCTGCTGGCTCCCCATGCTGCTACTGGGGGCTCTAGGGGCAAGGGGGCCTTGCAGTCAAGGCTGACAGGGGAACGAAGTGGGCGGTATGGAGAGCAGGGGGGATCTGAGAGAAATGCCTCTCATCTTGTCTCCCTTAAGTCTCCCCAGTGCCTCCTGCTTTCTAGCCACCCTGAGTGACCCTGGAGTCCCACAACACCCCCTGCCTATTCACGAACCCCCTTTGCGCATGCGGACCCCTCTGCCAGATATGTCCTCTCTTCTCTTTGCCTGGCAAACTCCTATTCATCCTTCAATACCCAAGGTCAAAGGTGAAGCATTTTGGACCCCACCCGGAAGCTAGCCATCTCACTCTTCACATTTCCAAATCATGTCTACTCTTACTTCTTCTTTTTTTTTTTAATTTTATTTATTTGAGAGAGAGAGTGAGAGAGAGAGAGCACAAGAGGGGGTAGGGTCAGAGGGAGAAGCAGACTCCCCGCTGAGCAGGGAGCCCGATGCGGGACTCGATCCCAAGACTCCGGGATCATGACCTGAGCCGAAGGCAGTCGCTTAACCAACTGAGCCACCCAGGCACCCTCTATTCTTAATTCTTATATAACTCACCTCACTCACAAAAATGGGTATATCTACCTTCCCAGTGAAATGGGGAAGCTCCTTGAAGGCAGGGGCTTTTGAACTGGTTTTGTATCCCCAGGGCCCACCCTGGGCCTTGGCCCAGAGTAGGCACTCAGCATGTTTGTTTGAATGAAGCACTAGTCCTCCTGTCAGGAGTCTGCTTTCTTGAGTTGCAGGCAGTCATCATCCAGTATCCAAGTCCCTGGACAGGAATACCCAAGCCTGAGGGAGGGATTTTGGTAAATGAGAAGCCTGATTTTCAGACCTCCAAACCAAACTGCCTGCAAGCAAACTTGAGTAAAATTCTGTTACTGTTAGATCAGAGGCTTTCAAACTCTTGTGACTTGGATCAACAGTAAAAAACACAATTTATATTGTAACTAGCAAATGTGTAGTACACACAGATCTGTAACTGAAAAGCACCAACATTACCATTTCAGGTCCATTTCTGTAAGATTTTTAAAAGGCTCGGACCCAGTAAATTGATTTCGAGACCCACAAATGGATCACCACCCACTCTGATAAACATTGCTTTAGATGACTCTAGCTTGATAAACATGAGAAATCAGATCCCCTTACAAATATCTGAACAAAAAACTTATTATCTGTGTGCCTGGTAATTCAGGCAGGAGGCTCTCCCTTCCCACTAGAGCAGCCCACCCAGGAGGGTCTAAAGGGCTCTGGACCACAGCTGCTTGGAACCACTTGGGCCCAGCAGGACTGGGAATCAAATGAAGCAGTGTGTTAGTCCCTATCACAGAGCCTGACACAAAGGAGGTCCCAGTCTTTGCTCCCTTCGTCTTTAATGCTCACCTTCCTCGTCCTGGGAACCGCCACCAAGAAGCCTGATGCTTCCTGAGTTACAACCATCCCAGCTGCGCTTTCAGCAGGCAAGAGCGTATACCTTATCCACTCGGCCTGCCTCTGAGAGTACAAAAAAATTTAAAGCAAACACTGGGATTCTCAGGCTTTTGCTTGTACTAAAGTTTGTTTTGTTACACTGTCCGTAGTACTATCTATGCTCTCTGCAAAGGAAAGAAACACCTGGGGTTCCCTCCTGTATGTAAATACTTGTAAAGGTTCCTACTCTCCCTTTCCCCGTACATACAGAATTTACACAGGGGAGAGACAGTGGCGGTGGCGCGGCCGCATACTAACACAACTTGGTAGTTTTTATTGTCTAGGACAATGGTTACAGACCACAAAGACTCGGGAAGACCCACTGCTTGGGCCCAACAAGAGACAATACTCTCCCTCGCAGTTCAGAGTCCTCTGGGCTATAAGGGGACAGGCTTTTTCTTATGTGGCTCTGGTAGGAGGTCCATGACTGTACTCAGTACAAGAAGAGCCATATCTGAGCCTACTTATGTGGGGGTGGGTGGATAAGGTGGCCACCGTCATTTCCATTACTTGGGTGCAACCCTGAAGACCCGGATGTGGATGGCCGAGTTGTTGCGAACGCGGGTCAGCGGCTCTCGTGTGTCAGTCTCTGGCTCCAGCTCATCGACAAGCTCCACGGTGGAGGTATTGGCAGCCACCTGCAAGGACCCGAAGCTGCCCGCCTGAAGCTGTAGGGCAATGTTGATGGCACGGTTGATGGCCAGGCCCAAGCCATGAATGTAGATCTCACTGCATGAATTCTGACCCCGAGCCCCTCCGTCCAGAAGCTTTTGGCAGCGGGCCAACTGGGCCTTAAAGTCAGTCTTCATGTTGACATAAATGTCATTGGGCCTCCGGGGCAGGCGGTGGGGGAGCCGCTTCCGAAGGGTATACTCCACCGGGTCCAGCTCAGCCTCGACGGCCCCGCGGGGCTCTCGGTTTTCCGCCATGCTGTGTGCCCTGACGCGGGGAAGAGAGGAGATCAGAGAGAGGTGACAAGAGACTTCGCTGCCTTTCCCACCGCGTTTCCAGCCCAAACGGTGCAGACAGGAGGGGACGCACTCAACTGCCCTCTTGCCTTCCAGCCCCAGTCCCCTCCCACTCACCTCAAGCTCCCTCACCCCCAGTTCCTATTCATTGAGGGCATCGCCCCCAACCTCAGGCCCCTCCACCCGCCCCCTTCCCCCGCGCCTACACCCTCCAGTCCACAGTCCTCTCCCCGAGCACGCGGCCCGATGCGGGCCAAGCCACTCAAGTGCTGCGCCCACCCTCTCGGACTGAGCGTACGGCGCCGGACACGCAGGACCCAGGAAGAGAAGAAAAGCTGCGCGCTAGAGGATCGCGAGACTGCGGCCGCCCTTACGGCTCCGGGCTCCTGAGAGGGCTGCGCAGTGCGCACGCGCGCCCGTCCCTCGCGATCCACGAATCGCCTTCCCGGCCTCCGTTCTCCCCGCCCCTCTGGGCGTTCGCGCGACCGTGCGGTGTGTCTAGGTAACGCGAGAGCGCTGGGAGACCGGCTCCACCATGTGTACGCCACGCAAGCGGGGTGCGGAGGCAGGAGGCGTGTACTAAGTCAAAGCCCGGGAGGGTAAGCTTTCCTAGGCCAGTCCAAGTTCTTGGCCCACGGAGGGGTCCTGAAGGGGAGAAAGGGAGAGAGGAGACTTTTCTAGAAGCGTGGAGGATTTGAGGTAGGGGCTTACAAAGACAGCCGGGAGGGTTCAAGAAGGTGAAGGGACCTAAAGGCAAGTCTGGACTCCCGCGTCCATTGCAGTACCTCTGGTTAGAGGAGGCGTGGCAGAGTTGGCAGAGCCGATTTCCTGCCCAAGGTCCCTGCTGCCCAGAGACTGAGGGGGGGATTGAGGGGTGAGGCCGGGTGCTCGGCAGACGCCGCCGCCTCTGGTCTCCCCTGTAGGACACGGGGACCCGTCCTTCTCCCCTATCTCTCGCAAGGGCTGACCCCCCCAAGTCAGCCCTTGGGGCCCCAAGCTATGAGCCGTAGGCCCTACTTTCACGGCTCCCCCCAGAGCACGCTGACCCACCCACACCCCTCAACCTTTACCCCCCAGCTAGCTCATCGGCCTCTGCCCACCCCAGCAGGGACGTGCGCCCCCTGGCGGCCAGGGCGGGACGGCGCCTGGTGGTTCGTGGCTCCCAAGGGCCAGTAGGGAGGAGTTTCCTCTGGCCAGACTGGTATAGCTTCTGGAGAGTTCCCTT